CCATTGTCCGTGTCCTTGGGTTGTGCATATGTGCATATAAATTCTTTGGTTACTCTCTCCCCCGCCCCCTTCCATCCCTCTGACATTTCGTCAGTCTCAACTATGCTTCCATGTCATTGAAGATTCTGCATTATTGACTTTCTGCTAGGATGGGATCGTAAATTAACATTTTGACCCACCGTAATAGGCCAGAGCTTCTTAATGCTCCTTCAGCGAAGTACCAGTAAGGGAAAAGGGCAGAAGCTGCAGTGTGCAGCTGGAAGTAGCCTAAACTGAAATGCTGTTGATGATTATGATTAAATCATAATCAAACTATACATTTTTTATTCTACTTCACTATACATCATTCTTTTAAGTACAAAAAAGGTTTCACCTCCCTAAATGTTTCAATAAGTTGAAGCCACAGAAAAATATGCCCTGTTTACTTGGTGGCTTTGAATGAATTGGTTGATTATACCTAAGAAAAAAACCTTAACTCCCTACTGGAAAAGGAGAAGAGGAGGCTTGGAGGAAAGGAAGAAGCAGCCTCCATTGAGAGCTTTGCGTAACAGCAACAAAAAGTTTCAGTTTGGAAACCTGGGGTTTGTGTGCTGTGTTCATCAAATACTTTAATCCTAATTCCCATAGACCTTATTCCCCTGTATTGTTTGCAAACAGGACTTTCCACGGGTCCATCAGGGCCTGAAGAGAGCATCCCTTCTGACTTATTGCCCTCTTTCCAAGTAGCACAAATGTCCTGTTTGTTCAGCTAATATTAATGGAGCACTTACCATGTTCTTAGCTTCCTTCTAAATTCTTTATATTTATCAAGCCCTTTAAACCTCCCAAAAAAACAATGATAAGGGCCTTGTTATTATCCCCACTATACAGAAGAGAAAACTGAGGCATAATTTATCCAAGGTCACACGGCTAGTGGGTAACTGGTAGGAGACATGCCAGCCTAGGTATTCTTCATGGCTATAATAAAGTGTTTTAATGACTCAACATTTAAACTACAGCCTTAAGGCAATCATATATGTGTACATTTAAAACACATAAAGGCTTTGATAGTGTTGGATGTGTTATAAGCAATAAGGATTTTTTAAAAATAATTATTTATTTATTTTTAAATGTTTTTATTGATTTCAAAGAGAAAGGGAGGAGAGATAGAAACATCAATGATGAGAGTCATTGATCAGCTGCCTCGGGCAGGCCCCCTACTGAGGAATTGCACCAGAAACCCAGGCATGTGTCCCAACTGAGATTCCAACCTGTGACCTCTTGGTTCATGGGTCCATGCTCAACCACTGAGCCACAGGGGCCTGGCTAAGCAGTAAGGTTTTTAAGGTACACTTTTATTCAGTTATGACACACATTATTGATAAGTGCATAAATCACGTTCAATGGATTTTCATAAAGTGAATACACTGATGTAACTATCACCCACACAGAGAAACGCAATATAACCAGATCCTCCCACCACCACCAAGCTGTAAAGTAAGTGATTTCAAAGTTCAAAATAAGCTGCATTCTATAATCTATTTCAGACTCCGGTGGAAATTCATTTCCATAATAATATACTCTTCTAGAGCAGTGATTCTCAAAATGTAGTCCCCAGACAAGCAGCCTCCACATCACCTGGGAACTTGTTCCATTTGTCAGTTCAAGGACCCCAGTCCAGGCCTCTAGAGCTGACCGCCGGTGCAGTCCGGTAATTTGTGTTTAACAAGCCCTGGGGCTTATTTAAGTCTAACAGTTTAGGTTCGTGATCGCGTAGCAATCGTGTTCGTGAATACTAGGGTCTAAAGTGCTGCGCTTGAATAATGGAGTCAAGTTCTAATCCCCTCTCTCTCTCTCTTTTTAATATATCTATTGATTTCAGAGAGAGGAAGGAAGAGGGAGAGAGATAGAAACATCAGTGATGAGAGGGTCATCACTGATCGGCTGCCTCCTGCACGCCAGGGACTGGGGATCGGGCCGCACCCGGGCATGTGCCCTGACTGGAATCGAACCGACATCTCTCGGATCCAAGGTCAAGCTCGGCCGCTGAGCCGCGGCGCAGGGCACCCACCTCTTTCTTGAGTTTCTCTCTCTCCCCTCGCATCCTGGAGCTCTCTAGTTTACCAACACAGCCGGCGAGACGTCTGAGCCAATCAGAAGACAGGCTCCGGCCGCTCGCCCATTCTGGCGGTATGATTGGTGGGTTCCCGCCGGAAGAGTCCGGCCGTGGAGCAGCCTCCGCCTTCCCGCGCGAGCCAATCGTTGCCCGGCGTTTGAAGGAGCAAAACCGCGCCAGCGATTGAACATGGCGGGCAGCAGTGCCGGAGAGTCCCGGAACTCGCGGGGACGCGCGGACGGGGAGGATGCGGGCCCCTCGGAGGACCGTCTATGGGAAGCGACGAGAGAGAATCAGGAGCAGTTCGAGGGCCAGGAACTGCTCGAACGCCAGGTTGAGATGGGGGCCCCCAAGAAAGAGATGGACGCGGGCCTGGTGACGGAGGCCGAGGCGGTAGCTACGGGTTGGATGCTGGATTTCCTCTGCCTCTCTCTCTGCCGGGCCTTCCGCGACGGCCGCTCCGAGGATTTCCACCGGACCCGCGACAGCGCCGAGGGTGAGTGTCGGGCGCCGGGCAGGGGAGGGGAACGCGGCAGGCGGCGGCGGAGGCCTTGTCTGCAGCTCTGTCCTGAGATCGGCGGGGGAGCCGAGTGGACGCTTCACCGTTGGCAGGAATCTCGCCTCCGCCAAGTAGCAGCTCCCCAGTTTTCTCCGATTATAAGTTTTTTTGAGAAAAGTGAAAACTTCCCGTTAGAGTTGATACAGGGTTAAGTGAGCTAAAATTGTCAACGTTAAGGAACATTCAAGCCTATGGAGAACTTTTGTGAGTTTGAGCCAAACTGACAGTTGCCGGGAAGCAGAATCTCAACGGATAGAGAAAAATGCTATGCAAAATAGCAGTTCTGCACCTTATTTTATACATGAGAATCAAAGAAGGGTGTGAGTGGGTTACGTAGAATCCATTAGTGACGGATTAGGCTGGCAGGAGAAAGCAAAGCGGGGAAACTTCTGGAATTGGAGACAAAAATAAAATGATAGACACATATTTCTTTTACATAGGTGGGTAAACGTGATAGTTAACGGTCAGCAGTTAACTCAATAACAATAACAATGGGGATTAGTGGTCCACTCTGGTTGTGCCCGGAGGGCCCCGGAAAAGGGGAAGTTACCCTGACATTCTAGAGGTCCATGTTGTCTTTGCTGGGAGAAGACGACAGACAGGCCTAATTAAGGTCAAGATTGTCTTTTGTCCGGGAAGATTCCAGCCTAGGACTTGGCTACCTGCCATAAACGGCTTTTAGGTGAAAAGTTTTAATTTCAGACCATCTTTTGTGGTTACTCTAGGTCTCTGAGTTTGTAGGGCTGCCACTCAGGCCTCCCTGAGAGCTTGTCAGGTTTAGTATGGGGCCCCTTTTTATCCACAAAATGTACAAAATCGCATCTAACCCAGTGTCCAATATCTTTTGTCTTTGTTGGCGCTTATATTTGTTTTTCTTTCCATTCAGGTATTCCTGTAATGGCAGTCAACAGTCACTGTGGCCCTCTGTTTTTTGTTAACTTGTGACCTTACCTAAGCCTCATGTGGCCTGCTTGCACATTACTGTAGGCTTCAGAATAAAACTAACTGCCAGTGAAATGTGCTGCCTAGACATTTACAGCCTGTAAATGGTGAACAAAGACATAGATCCATAGAAAAAACTAGCCTGACTTTTTGAATATCAGAAAGATGCGTTACTGTTGTGTAGGCGGTGGGATCCACACTGGTGTTCGTCCGGTGGGGTCAGACCGGACTTGGGTTCATCAACCTCGTTAGTTGGATTCTGGCTAAGAAAGAATTCAGAGCCAAGACCCACACTATAAGAGAACACTTATTTATAAAATCATAGAGGTAGAAGAAGCAATTCCTAGAAGAAATGAGTGAGGAAGATAATGGTAACTTGCCTGTGGTGTGGAGGAGGGGGGTAAAGCGACAGGCATGCACCCTGGAGGGAAAGCGCTCTGGGTCCTCCTTCCTAAGGGTTTTAAGGGTGGATATCTCAGGGGTGGTCCCAGGGCAAGATTTCATTATAATATTCAGCAGTTTTCCTGGTGTCCTTTTTGGGCCTAGGTCTCCATAGATTGATTGGCCAGCACCAGGGGGCCATTATCCAATGCAGCTGGTTCTGAAGTCAGTTGTGGCTGGTTTTGTTGCTCTTCTGGGCCTGGAGCTGAAATGCAGTTGAGGCCTAGATGTTATCTCTAGGGAGGAAAGGTCAGGGGATCTGAACAAACCAAATCACCAGCCTCATGCTAGGGGAGGAAAGGGCACCCTGATGGCGAGGTCCAACCCTACAGTTGTCTGTTGCTAGGCACCTGGGGCTTTCCAGCCCTGGTGACCTTCTGTACCTGACCAATCGCCTTTGCTCATGTCTGTGTAACGGCCTACCACATTACCAGGCTAAAGAGGTCCGTTTGCCTGTGAGCATCAAAGGCCAATTTAGACAGGAATAGGAGCTCGAGGCAAAGAAAGCAAGGGTTTCTTTTCAGAAAGTGGCCCAAGCCCAGAGACAGCTCGAAGACCTGGCTCCCCAGTGGCTTCTAAGAGATGGGGTAGGTAGGGGGAAAATCATTAATCATGGGACTAAGGGGGTTGGGGTCGTGGTTTCTGTTTGATTGGCCGACTCTAGGGTAGGGGTAGTTAATCAGTGCATCTGGTCCTGATGGCAGCAGAGGTGTCGATTTCTGGGCCTGGAGCTGAAACACGATAAGGTCTAGCTGTTCTCTCTAGTTAGATTGAAACTCTGTCTCTATGGTCAGTGCTTTGTTCCTAAGATTGTTTGAGGTGGACCTCCCTGTCCTGTAGGCAGAATGATTAAGGGAATGGAGTGCAAGGGAGAAGGAGGCAGGTGAGTCGGGGTGCCAGGTGAGGCCAGTTGTTTTTTTTAATCCTCACCCAAGGATATGTTTATTGATTTTAGAGAGAGAGGGAGAAACTCCCATTGGTTGCCTCCTGTACCACTCGTACTGGGAATCGAACCTGCAACCTAGGTATGTGTCCTGACCGGGAATTGTACTCTTAACCTTTTGGTGTATTGGGATGGTGCTTCAGCCAACTGAGCCACCCTGCCAGGGCACAGCCAGGTTTTTCTTTTTGTTTTCCCGCCGTCCAAGTGTCAGACTACCAATCATCCTCACTTGCACCACCAGAGTGCTGAGTGTAGACAAACCTCTCCTCTCTCTGCCATCTAATGACACAAATGTAACACACAGCAGCCACATCTGCCACACCTCTAGGGGCAGTGAGGCCAGTTTAAATCACAGGGAAAGAAAGGAGAAAAGGTCATATTGAAGAAATGACGTTTCTACACGGTTACTGATGCTCTGGTATTTATTACAGAATTGGCACTCAATTTAATGCAGCTGAAGGCAGCCCCAAAATACTATTTAATGGAAAATTAAATACTCAAGAAAACCATATTGACACATTTCATCTTCATGTCAATCCCATGAGTTAGGCAAATAATCTTAGTTTATAGAGAAGTAAACTAGTTAAGCACCCTAAAGTATTGCTAGCTTTTAACCCCTTTTAAGGAGTGTTCCAGACCCATGCCTTATTGTCCAATTCAGGAACCTTTTCCTGTGTCACAGATAACACTAGAGTCATTAATTAACATTGATTAGCAAGTTAAGTTTGGGAATGAAGCCAGTGCACCATAGTTAGAATTATTAAAAAGTCCTCCTTGGGGAAGAGGCTAGTATTATCTATGTGGTGATAAATTTCACTTGGAAACATCAGCATGAGCTCCTGTTTATGTGGTTACATATAGAAATACATGTGCATATTTTTATACATGTATAGATACAGCTTAGTATATACTCATTAACTTCCTTGTTCTATTAGATGAAAGGGCATAGACTCAATGTATCCCTCATAGCAGCAAGTACACCTACCACTCAAGTCTTGGTTTCTAAAAGGGAACTAGAGCTCTTTCGAGAAATGGCCTGATTCTAGTACTGGGACAGGAAATGTACAAGATTAAGGTGGAGCATTTTGTGCCAGAAAGTAAGAAAGTGCTAAAAACAAAACAAAAACACCCACAATGGTTGGGGTACCGACTGTAAGAGCTCCTCAGTGGCCAAAGCTGAAACAACTTGAGCAAGAAAATAAAAATATTGGATTATAACTCAAAGTATAAAATCAATATCCATGAGTCCATACTGATGTAAATAAATGATGGAATAATTAAGTAAACGGGAGACGAGAAATCTCCCATGCAGAAGAATTTCGGGTAATTTAGGTAGCTACTCTTTCCTCACACGGAGTTCAGTCACTCCCCCCCTTTCCATTCCATAAGTGTGGGCTTCGCCCAGGGACTTTCTTCTGAAGAGTACAGTATGGAAAGGGGGGAAAGAGTAACTGTACAACAGAGAAACCTGACAAACTCCCTCACCTAGGTAATCAAGGTCAGTATCAACAGTGATGGTAATATGTACACTTGATACAATGAAAATGGAACTTTACCTCTATGGTCTTCCTCCCCAAACCCCATAACTCTAATCATGAGGAGAAACAAACAAAAAACATCAGACAAATCCCAATACAAAATACCTCAAAACTGTCAAGGTCATCAAAACTAAGGAAAGTTCCATTAGCAAAGCTTTATTTTATTTATTTATTTTAATCCTCACCCTAGGATATTTTTTCCCCCAGTGCTTTTTCAGAGAAAGTAGAAAGGAGAGAGAAACATCGAATGGTTACCTCCTGCACACACCCCACCTGGGGCTCAGGATAAAGCTTGCAGCCAAGGTAGTGCTCCTGGTCGGAATCGAACCCAGAACCCTTCAGTCTGTGGGCCAATGCTCTAACCACTGAACCAGATCAGCTAGGGCAAAACTTTATTTTAAAAACACATTTATTTTTACTAATCTCAAATATCTGAATTCCCACCCAGATGTTATGCTTTACAGTGAGTATATACAATGATGAGTAAACCCTAACCCTGGACCTCAGTGAGTTTATCACCACGTAGCAATGAAAGACAAATGACTTAACAACTAAAGTAAAAATGTGGAGGAAACTGAAAAAGATAAGTATAGAATGCTATGGAAGCATTTAACAAAGCATTATGTCAGGGAACGCTTCTCTGAGGGTAATGTTTAAAGACCTAATGAGGCCATTATACTTCACCTAGGGATTACCTGGTGTATATGAACCTCAAAAAGTAGCCTTGCAGCCACTAAGCAGATAAAACAAATAAATACATTTCCTCAATTCTAAAATGCCTTAATATTATACCATACTAGCAATTATCTGGGCCAGATATAGCCATAATATAATTAAATAGGATTCAGAGACAGCACAAAATTTAAATAAAATTTAACCCCAATTTATTCAATATTTACTTAACATTTCTAGCCAGTATTAGGGACTGGTGAGTAAATGAGGAGATAGCCAGCCAGTCCTTGCCCCTCGCAATGGTTTTAGTCTAAGAAGGCACAAATTAAACAGGATGTTACGCAAGTGACTAATTAAAATTTTAATGAGTTCCACAGTGGGTAAGTGTAGCATAGGGGCAAAGCAACAGAAAAACAATCTACTGTAGGGAAGAAAATCAGACCCCTCCTGTGTTCACTTCCCTCCATATTCAGTTTAGTCAACTGCAGTAACTGCAGGTATCCTACACACCATCGCCCTTCTGAACAAGGAAAACCTACTCATTGAGCTTGGCTACCTGGTTTTTCCATACCTGTAACCAACACTTAACTGAAACCTTGACAGAAATAATAAAACATATTTCCTATAATATTAGGAGTTTTAAGGTATAAAGCTTCCAGATAATGACACATTTTATAATTTGGATCTAAATCTCCCTTTTTGTTAGTTTAGAGTGCTACCTGTGAAAATAGTTTTAAATATTGTTCTACATGTGAAATATCAGTTTTATTTTACAAGTGTTTATTGTATTTTTGTTCTGACTTTTTTTTTTTTTTTTTTTTTTTTTTTTTTTTTTTTTTTCAGAGAGAGGAAGGGGGGG